AGCAACAAGAAAGGAGAACAGAAAAGGAAGAGAACTTCAGAGATCTGTGGAACAGTAACAGAACATTTATCATCTGTGCCGTGAGGGTGCTGGAGAGGATACACATGATCAACTGCTGAAAGAAATAGTAGTTGACAACTTTCCAAATTTTCCAAGACAATAAATGTAAAGATTTTTGAAGCTCTACAAACCCCAGACAGGAAAAATACAAAAGAAACCTACAGAAAAACACATCATAATTAAACTTCTTAAAACCAAAGACAGAAAATAAAATTTTAAAACAAGCCAGAGAATTTTTACACCTTATCAACAGAGATGAAACTATTTTTTAATGACAGCAGATTTTTCTTCAGAAACTATGAAGGCTAGAAGGAAGTGGCATGTTATTTTTCAAATATTGAAAGAAAAGAATTGCCAATCCAGACTAAATGAAAATACTACTTAGGACTGGGCGAGAAATCAATACATTCAGAGGTGAAGAAAGGCTGAGCGAATTTTTCACCAGAAGACAGACATACCCTAAAGAAATACCTAGAGGATATTCTCTGAACAAAAATGCAACAATAAAAGAAGGAAATTTGGAACACTGGGAAGAAGAAAACAATGCAATAGGTTTCCTTCTCACTCTTCTCTATTATTTTAATGTCATTCGCATTTGCCAGAAGCTAGAAAGAACTCTGCTGTTTCAATGGGCAAATGTTTAAACAAACTGCCCTATATCTACCCATACCCCAGAATACTACTCAGCAGTAAGAAAAGAAACAAAATTTATACACAGAACACCTTGGATGGGTATGAAAGTAATCATGCTGAGTGATAAAAGCCAATACAAAAGGTTGCCCTACTGAACAATTCCATTTGTATGACACTCTTGATGTGATGAGTACTAGATACTGAGAACAGATTGGTGGTTACCAGGATTTAAGGAAGGTGTAGGAGGAGGAGAGAAGAGAGTGTGGCTGTAAAAGGACAAGAGGGGCCCCTATGGTGATGAATATTCTACATGTTGACTACAACAATGCTAATAGTACAACTGCAACATGGCAGTCACCCCGTAACAATAGGGGATAATTACCAAGATCCACAGTGTGATGCCTGGAGCTGCAGATAGCATTGAACCTTATATTTACTGTTTTTTTTTTCCTACACATACATATTCTTGATGAAGTTTGAATAATAAATTAGGCACAGTGAAACATGAAGAATAATAATTCCAATAAAAGTTACAGGGATGTGGTCTCTCATCTCCCTCTTGAAAGAATCAAGATAAATGGTATTTGCAGGCTGCAATTAACTCTAGGCAACTAAAACCACAGGAGATGAGACCACAGATAAAGGCAGGCTACGCGTTTTCTTGCTATGGCAGGTTGTTACTTTTGGGAAAATCAGGAAAAGGGCCTAGGACCTCTCTGTGTTATTTCTTACAGCTACATGCAAATTTACAAGTATTTCAGAATAAAATTTGATTGAAAAAATAGCAACTAACATGATGTAGCATGTTAAGCAACTGCTTGTAACATCAGCATTCCATTTTTGAGTGCTGGTTCAAACCCTAGCTGCTCTGCTTCTGATTCAGTTCCCTGCTAAAATGATGGCTCAAGCACTTGGGCCTCTCCTCCCATGTGGGAAACCAGGATGCAGCTTCTGGCTCCTGGCTTAGGCCAGGCCCAGAACAGTGAAGTTTTCTCAAACTTGCTTAATTAAAATTCTACTATTTGTATAATAAGTAAAAACCTGTATATACAGGGGCTATGAGTTTATTTATAAACTTTATAAAATTCTTATTAGTTTAAATGTCTAAAAATTATTCACACATAGGACAGTACTGTAAAAATACTTACTCCATTATCATTGCCTTAACTCTAACTTATTGCAGGTATAGTCTTCCAACAAGCCCTGGATTATTTAAGGTAATCTCTAAGATCCTGGAATAACTGCATAATGCTGATGACAATCATGCTGACGATGTTACAGAGGCTAACATTTTCATGGTGCTTACTATATGTTGTGCCTTTTCTGACAGCTTTAAATAAATTTATTTCCTACAAAATCCCAACAAGATAAGCATTATTATTACAAATATTTCTTATTTTATAAATCAGAAAACACTCAATGAGGCTAATTTCTCTAAGTATTTAATATACATCTAAAAATTGGTCTGCCTTAAATTTGTAATATTAAACACTTGACATGACCTAACTTCTTAAGATCTAAATGATGATATAAACACTCTAGAGTATAATCCATACACTTAGAAATGGAGATTATATACCATGAAAATGCTTTTAATATGATGTTAGGTGAAAGATAATTAGAATATAAAATTGTATATTCGCACTGATTATGACTATCTAGAAGACTGCATAATGTCAAGGGCTAGGAAACAGAGAACAACGTGGGGATGAGAGAAAACTCCTGAACTGTACCACATTTAATTATGAGGGTCAGGGGATGGAGGGGTAATAAGTTAAAAAGTTAAGGGATGAGAATAAGACACAATCTCACATTCTTGAGTGGATACTAGAGCCTTAATTCAAATCCCATCATGATGCCCTGGGTCCCATGGTGGTCTGTTCATGACCCCAAACACTGTAGAAGCAACAACCACTACTATGAAAGGTCTCCCAGCCCAAAGCTAGCCCCAAGTTCTGCTGGCCCACCGCTCGTAGTTATAGCTCATGTGAGTTCCATGTAAACAACTTATGCTTTCTCCCCATTGTAAGACACTGTTATCTTTTTAGGTTCGGTGGATCTTTTTCCAACAGCTTTCCTGCAAGTATTAGCAGGAAATTGCCCCAGGATGGGTCCTTTCCCTTCTGGCAAGTGTCTGTAATAGTTTAATAAGTCCCTGTACTGGAGAGAGTTTTATTTTAACAAAGGCATGGGATCTACTTCTCCTCCCTTTGTGTGTACATATGCCTGCCGTGAATCACTGACCTAAGCACATTACCTACTCCCAGGACTTGCGTTGCAACTCTGCCACCTGCTTTCACCAACCAATGAGCTAGACTGGGGTCCTGAGGGTCTCAAGGTCACTAAATCCAAAGCCACTTCTTCCAAACCATCCCCATCTTTTCACAGCATAGACGGTTCTTTAACAGTCCTACCTTCTTGAACCTTGCCTGTTTTCCAAACTCAATTCCATTGCTTGCCCAGTCTTCAACATCTCCTATTCCAAGCATATTCTGTGTCATTCCTCCAACTACGGTGTCCCACCTGAGGTCAGTTCATCCATTACGTCTTTCCTGTGACTCAGATGTGTTTTCTCTACCATTAAACTTCCTAATACTTATTTTTCAGTTGCAATAGGACAATGATTATGTTTGGCATCCTTATATTATGGCTATTAGGCTGTACCACACAAAATTGTTGATAATAATATCCTACAAAATGACAATCCCGTACAGTTCAACCTGACATTTCTTCCTATTTCAGAACTCCTAAGTGAAGAGCCACCTCCTTGAAGGCAGGGGCTGAATTCTGCTTTTCTTTTGGATCCCTGGGGCAGAAAGTGTTTAAGAAGTGTTTATCAAAACAAAGACTCTTAAATCAATAGATATATTTTGCATATGTTTGCAAAATGATTCATCTGTAGCAATTAGTCTAATGGAATACGAAGTAGCTAATTATTTTGCCAATCAGCTCAAAGGTTGGAGGTCAGTAGATTTAGAACCTAGATATTTTGGTATTATAAAACATTTTCATTCATGTTTTAAAATCATCTATTTGTGAAGGAAACATTCATGATTTAGAGGTTGGCAGGTACAGTAAAATGCTGTTCAGTTGACTGCAATTAAAAAATGTATCTAAACACTTTTCAGCACATGCACTTCCTTTATAACAACAAAATTCCTGAAAGCAGAAACACAGTGGTTTGCGCATAGTGAGCCTGGGCTTCACCACCACAAATAGGAGAAGCAAGGGAGGGTGACAGGAACAATTTGCATTTCTACAGCTCCTTCCTCTACTCAGATTCCAAAGGCATTTCACAAAGCAACAAAAATCAGGGCCCAGAAGGGACAGTGATAGGATGTAGCAACCAGGAGGGCCTCCCCCATAGCCAGACTCAGAGCCCCTGTACATGGTAGTGGTCCCCACACAGCTGTAAACATGAGAGCAATAAACCGCTGGTACAGGTCAAGAAAAGGATAAAACGTGTCTGGGATAATTCAGCAGCCATCAGGAACATCCCCAGGAAGAGTCCATCCTTCCTGCTGCCCCAAAGAGCCCCTTTATCATGCAGATTGTACTGGCCTGCTTCTCCAGCAAGCTACTGGCTGTCCTACTAGGTGATGGCACTGTCATAAACCCCCAATTCCTACAAAAATCACCACTGAGCTGGGATGCCCTGGGAGCAGAGGACACGCCAGGCTTACTCTGCAGTCGCCAGAGGTCTGTTTGAGAGAAAATTTGACAGAACTTTAGGAAAATTGCATGCAAAGCAGCCTTCTGCTGTGCCCAGGCCTTCCCCTTTCCCCACCAGACTCTGGAACTGGTCAAGCGATTCTCAGGAGCTGACTATGGGTCTGAGAGGCCCCTGCTCTGGTACACGCGGCGGCAACCCCAAGCGTCCTCCAGGGGTCACACTCGGGTTACGAATCCACACAGCGCAGTGACTGAGCAGCCTGATTGGGCACAATTTATTCGATTCCTTCTTCATTAAGATTCAAACGGAATAAGTAAGGTAGAAATTGAACAGACACAGAAATTGTGCCTTGCTGCTCCTGTAGTCAGTAAACATTTATTCACGGTGCCCAGCTCGCGGGCCGTGCGCTCTCTCCCCCTCACTTACAGCGGTGCTTCCAATCCTTACTGCTTGCCGTTTTAATGCATAATTAAGAAGGTCAGAATTAATGAAGCATTGTGGAGTAAAGTTCAAGGAATCCCCAGGCACTATTTATTCTATTAGATCTCGGGCATGAATGTCAGATTGGCAGCAGAAGCGGCATTGGCAATCGGGCTAGTGGTGTCCTGGGAGCAATCCGCCCGGGGAGACTCACCTGCACTGTTGACTCATCCCCAAGCTCCTTCCCTGCGAAGATCACACGCAACTGGTCAGCTGGAACCCCCTGTCGCTTAGCAACCGCCTCCTTGAGCTGGGAGATGCTGGTGTCAGAATCGACCTCCACTGGGAAACCGTGGCTGGAGTTGAACCTGACGAACACTGAACCACGGAAATGGGAAGAGAAAAGAAAGGCAGTGAGCCTGACTTGAAGCCCTCAAATCGCAGTGACAGCATTTCTGAACTGACTTACCCTCACCTGCCCTTCAACGAATGGCACACATTTTCTTTCACTTAAAACAAAAAAATAATAATGCTACTAATGCTATCTGGAGCAATAGTTTGAGGAAAAATGGAGTTTCCCAGTAGGATTTCCCTTTCATATATTAGTCAGTGACCTGCAAACCAAAATTGCACACTCCCTTTGACATCTATTCTGGGAAAGAGAGGGAGTCAAGCAGAACCCTTGCTTGATTGGAATTGTAAGATTCCCAGGAGTTCGTATAGGAGATTCAGCTCTGACAGCCTGTACAAACTCGCCCACCATCCATAGGGCCCCTCCTAACAAAAAGAAAAGGCAGTGTGCCAGCAGCACTCAAGGAGAAATGGAAAAAGTCCAGGCCACTTCACAGACCACAGTGAAGACCCTCTCGGCGCCGCAGCTGCTGCACAAAACGCTCCACTGGGGCTATGGACACAATCATTCTCCTTTTCTTTTGAAGCTTCTGACAGCACTGCTCTTTCTGCAGCCACTCTTCCCCACCGGGACCACACAGTCTTTTGCCTGCTGTCTTCTCACTTCAGTGGCCACCACCTTTCAATGCCTCTCATGCCAGAACTCTCCTTTCCACAACTTCGTGCACCGCTCTAAGTCAGCCTCTCATCAAATCTTTGCTAGATTCTTGCAGTAGCATCCAAACTGGAGTCTTTTTTTAAAGATTTTATTTATTTTATTTGAGAGTTAGAGTTACAGACAGATGGAGAGACAGAGAGAAAGGTCTTCCTTCCATTGGTTCACCCCCCAAATGGCCGCTACAGCCGGCGCTACACCGATCCGAAGCCAGGAGCCAGGTGCTTCTTCCTGGTCTCCCATGTGGGTGTAGGGACCCAAGCACTTGGGCCATCTTCTACTGCTTTCCCAGGACATAGCAGAGAGCTGGACTGGAAGAGGGGCAGCCGAGACTAGAACCGGTGCCCATATGGGATGCCGGCGCCGCAGCAGAGGATTAACCTACTGTGCCACAGTCCCAGCCCCCAAACTGGAGTCTTGATGCCTTATTCTTCACTTCCGAAAGCCCCCGCACCATGCTACAAGAAGACTTATCAATCCAGAGTTCTGACCATGTCACCTTTTGCTATCAGATCCAGCAAAAAATTGATTTTGCATATATTAATCCATTTTTTGTTGATATAAAAAAAAGACACTTGAAGTTTTTCTTCTCAAGAAAAGAGGTTTATTCAGCTCCACAGTTTGGGAGGCTGCATGTTCAAAATTAGGCAGCTCCATCGGTTTGGCCTCTCCGAGGTTCCCGTTGGCTGTCTCACAACATTGTGGACAAGTAGGAAGGAAATGGCTGCACACAAAAGAGGCCAAGCCCAAAAAGAGACCTCATTTTATGGCAACCCACTCTTGTGAGAACTGAGGTTCCACAAGAACTAAGAACTACATGAATCCCTTCCGAGTGCGATGCCTCCAATGGCCTAATTGCCTCCTAACTGGGAACCAAGCCTCCCACACACAGACCAGAGCCTTGGGGACACATTCAGCCAGAGCAGGTCTCCAGTGACATTTATTATGTGAGTCTTATAACACTTGACAGGTTCCAGGTGGAAGCAACATAGCACAGAGGTTCAAATCCATCTACATGCTCCTTTGTGGATTTTGTAGGTTTTGTAGCCTGAATATAAACATACTAACCCTCACTCTTTGAATCTCAGCTCTCTAATATTCTTTTATTTTCTTTAAAATTTATTTTATTTGAAAGGCAGAGTGACAGAGAGAAAAGGAAAGACAGAGAGAGAAACAGATCTTCTATCCACTGGTTTACTCCACATATGGCTGCAATGACAGGTGTTGGGCCAGACCAGAGCCTTCAAGATTAAGCACTGGGCTACCTTCCACTGATTTCCCAGGAGCATTAGCAGGAAGCTGCATATGAAGTGGAGCAGCTGGCACTTGAACCAGCACTCATATAGGATGCTGGTGTTGTAGGCAATGGCTTAACCTGCTGCACCACAACATGGGGCCCCAACTCTAATCTTGAACATATGAACAAACCATGGAGAATGTTATGTGACACATTAAATAAAATTTTGCAGTATTTCCCTAGTAACTTCTAGTAACTTTCCAAATAGTAAATATTTGCATGTGTCTCAGTTATTTTGGGTGTACATTTCATCTTCTTTAAAAGATGATAAACTCAATGCCAGGTAATTTTACTATTATTTCTCTTTTAAATATGGCATAATTGCCAACTTGCTCTCAATTAAAATGAGATGACCCACTTAATAATGATTATAATAAAATAATAATTACAATGCCAATAATCATCAGGTACTTACAATGTGCCCGGTGTTATCCCTTAGATCTGGTCAGGTCACCATTATTACCCTGATTTAATAGAATAGTAAATGAGGGCCCAGAGAATTATAATCACCTTCCTAAGGACATCAACAACTTTTTTTAATCAGAATTCACATTCAGTTCAATCTAACTCTAATGCTCAACCCATTTTTATCATCACACACTGCCTAAAGACTTCTCAGATGAAATGTCCACATTCTCTTTCCTTATGATAAAAAAGATAAACAAGAACATCACAAGAGCTTTAAAACACAATTCAGATATTTCTTATATCAGCTGAAGATGGGGTTAAAAAATTTGATAGCTAAGAGCAAAGAATAGTGAACTGTGGCCATAAGATGCGGTGGAATAAAAATGGCACTAAACACAGGCAGGGGGCATAGATGACCACATCAGGGCAAAACCCTGATGTATTTGACCAGTATGGAAAATAGAAAAAGGAAGGACTGGAAGTAACAGAATTTTCCAAATATAGAAAACTCATGAAAAAATACCAATTACAGAGGTAAAGGTGCTTTTGATATACTTTTAAGTAGATTTCATCCCACACTTTTGAAAGTAGAAGAGAAGAAATAAAAATGTATTGGGAGCCCTTGAGGTACACTCACAGCATCCTCGGATCAAAGACCATAAGACAACCAATTCATCAGATAACACACAGAAGAAGGAGGGGGCTGAATGGGACAAAAGGTAGAGTCCCTGTTTTAAACGTGATTTTCTACTACTGTGAACAGATCTTTCAAAAAAGCAAAGCACCATAGGGGGGACATCAGAAGAAGCAGCTGGGAACCATATAAAAGCTACTACAAAACCAGGTAAAAATTCCAGGAGATCTAAAGTTGATGATTTTTCCCTAGGGGTTCAGATTGTAGGAATCCTACTGCAAATATAAGAATTATAAAGAAACACAAACCACCAAATAACTCTGCACAACAGCCTGTTTTATAAAACAAAGTTTTAAAGCTTACAATTGGGTTAATTAAGTTGCAATTTGGATGTCATATAAATACTCCAGAAATAAATAATTTTTGAACAGTAAATACAATATATAATATGAATTTATTAAGGAAAGAGTAATAGGTATTTGACCTATTACATAATAGGTATTTGACCAAATAAAATATTTGCGAATAAAAAACAAATATCTTAAGAAAGTGACCCAGTCAATAATCATATAGCATTGTCTGAAGGTGCTACAGATTAATGGCAGTAGCATATATTGCAATGGGTCTCAACTTCCTTCCCGTATGTGAGAAATGTGTCACATCCCATTGGTTCTATCCTGTTAGCTTCAGCCAGGATTCTCCAAAGGACACCGCAGGGAAGCAGTCCACCTGCTGTCCCTCCTCCACTAGTTCTTTTAAAATCACAGAGCACAGAACATTTTTTCCCCTCAAAGAAATGTTTTTATTTAATGAGTATAAATTTCATAGCTACAGCTTTAGTTCTATACTGATTCTTCCCACCATACCCACCTTCCCACCCTCAGTCCCACCCTATCTCTTCCTCCCTCTTCTGTTCCCAGTTCCATTCTCCATTAAGATTAATTTTCAATTAACTTTATACATAGAAGACCAACTCTATACTAAATAAAGATGTTAACAAATGGCACATACATGCATTAAAAAACTGTTTGAAGACAAGTTTTACAGTTAATTCTCATAATACAACTCACTGAGGACAGAAGTCCTTCATGGGAAGTAAGTGCACAGTGACTCTTGTTATTAGTTTAACAATTAGCATTCTTATGGGTGATATCAGTGATCACCTGAGGCTCTTGACATGAGCTGCCAAGGCTATGGAAGCATTTTGAATCCAGAATCTCTGTCAGTATTTAGACAAGGCCATAAGACAAGTAGTAGTCCTCTCCTCCCTTCAGAGAAAACTACATCCTTCTTTAATGGCCGGTGCTTTCCACTGGAATCTCACTCACAGAGATCCTTCATGTAGGACATTTTTTTGCCACAGTGTCTTGGCTTCCCATGCCTAAAATGCAGCAGAACATCTTTAGAACTGGTAAAAGAGAAATTTGAATATCTGTTACAAAAGATTTATTGAGATCTTAAGTGCATTAGAAAATTTCAAAAAGAGTCATTGTTTTAGGGACAACTCTCTCAGTACAGGGCAAGGATGTGCTTCAAATGTAGTCCTTTAATTTTAGTCACCTAGAAGAGGGAGAGTAAATAAAAGTGGAATCCATTGTGTGTACTATAAATAGGACAAATTAGATGGGATACAGGTGAATACTAGAAGAGTCACTGATTGTTCCGTTTTCTGCTCCTCTTCATGATGGACAGAAAATGTCCAGGGACAGAGATATGAAAGATATTTCAGCTTGTCTCCATTTTCTGATATTTAATTAAGTCTCCAAATAATTATTAAATGCAGTTATAGTATTAGTAGAAATAAACACCATATAATAGACATATTCAATAGCATCAATAAATATTTTAACACCATGATAAGAAAAAAGATATAAAACATATTCACACTCAATTTCTACATTATCCCTAACCACGGTTCACAAGTCCTAATTGGCAAGGAAGTAACTGGGAGAGAACAGGGTTAATGAATACTT